CTGCAAGTTTTCTCTCAGATAAAAAAAACAAAATTAATTTTCAAAGCTCTCCTCGTATCCCCTGCCTGAGCATTTCTTACAGATCACTTCTAAAATTTAATTTCCAACTATTCTGGGTAACTCAAAATTATGTCAGAGGCAAATAAAACCCTTCCAGAGAAACTCAGAAGACAATTTCTCTTCGCAGCAAGAACACAACTTGCCCTCAGTTACAATGACCACCACTATTAGCATTAGAGAGAAAACTTCGGTAGCTACAGCTTAACGCAGGCTGTCATTTCACCGTACACCACGGGAAGAAGGTAGGCTGCCTTCCGGAAAAGCTGTGTTCACAGCGAAGACGTGAGAGCGATACTGAAGAGCTGTGCACAGGTAAGCAGTAGAATCACGGGGCAGTCACAAGGAAAGCTGAGCTGTGACACGGTGCCTGAGAACAGCAAGAAGATGGAAAAAAACCAACCACAGAGCAGGGCAAGAAAGATTTCACTGGCAGTTTTCCCCCCTACCACAAGAACAAAAAGTAGGCTGGGGTGTTCTCCGAAGTAGAGACACACATCTTTGCATGTGTATTTAATGTTGACTTTTAATCCAAATCGCACACAGGCACGTATATATGGCAAAGGCTACTTTGTCACAGTCTCCAAATGGAAGGGACTTAGTGTGTACATCTTGGGTCGGGGCTGACAAGATTGTTTTCACTCCATCCTGTGCTCTCCATTTTCTTTAACCACACCGTGTCCTCCAGCCTTTTAACACTGGCCTGGAGCAACCTTGATCACCTTCTTACCACCCTCCAAAGAGGTCTCTGCCTTGTAAACCTCAGAGGGGGTGGGGAGAGGCTCAGGGCAATGCCAACTCCTAAACAGTCTGTGGGAGACAGAAGTTGTCAAATGCCCCCCTCAAGCAGAGCTGTCAAATCATTTCTGTATTTATACCTCTAAACCCATTCATGCCCACATCCAAATCAACCTGCTAGACCGCCTCCCGACATGCAGTTTCACACTTCAGGTTTCCAGGAGGTGCTCAGACACGAAGAGAAGCTGCAAACGCACTTATACGAAACCAAAATGTACTGCCTGCACTGCTTGCGTCCCATTTAAGACCATCATTTCTCTTTGTCAGAGCTGTCACAAAACCCCATGCAGTAAATGAGAAGCCAACTCCGAAGCACTGCACCTAGTAAAAATTTAATATAATAAAACAAATTGAAAACGGCAACATTATTTTAACCATTCACAATTAAAAGTGGAAAAATCATAAGGCAGCCATTCATGGAATGATTTTGTGTACAAATGGCTTGGAAAAAGAGACATTAAAATTACAGTTCCGTACATGGAGTCAGGTAAACAGCAATGACCACGCAGTGTTTTTCCCTGGAAAACCAAGGCTGCTAAGAGATGCAATAAAAGGACAGTAAGAAAAAAAAAAAGATTTTTAAAAGAAGTTTGAGGTGAACAGGAATCTGAAATTCATCATAAAAGAATCTGAAATTCATCATACTTCCCCACCATACTGCAACCACTCCTCCTCCTTCCACCCCCAAAAGAACAAAAATACACTTCCCTCCTCTTCTTTCCCAAGTCCCAGCACAGAACAGGAAGGGAGCAGCAGCAGCAACATTGATTCCACAGCATCTCTCCCTTATTCTGCATAGAGCTGATACCACACCGACACATCTGCTACTGTCAAAAGCTCCTTGAAGGTTCTGAACTAGTTCCTGAATAAATAGAGTAGTTTTCCTAGGTCTCTTGGGTAACATTTTACACCATCCACCTGGAAATGGTTCTTTAAAGTCAGCGGTGGGTTTGTGTTTAGCGCCCAGCCAATCTGACATCCCACAGCTATCAAAAATTTCTGCCCTGGTGTGACAGCTCTGCCATCCTCACTTAAGTTAACATCAGTGCAGCTTCTGCATTTGCCATCAGGCACAGAAAAAAAAAAAAAAAGTATTTCCCTTCTGTATAAGGAACAATAAGGGAATTGAACAGTAGGGAAAATACCTGAACATACCCCGATCAACAGAAACAGCTTTAGTCCAATTTCTATCACCAATTAAGAAATCATTAACTGAAAAAACAGCTGATGAGAAGATTATAGATTTCCTAGAGGGATTTACAGAAGGAAAGGGGGATGTGCCTGGCACTTGGTTAAAGTGTTACCTGCTAGACCTGCTGCCACCTACCTCACAGTAGCAAACACAGGCAGAAATGGCTATGACAGAGAGAGCAAGAGGAATTTGTTTGCACCAAGGTCCCCTGAGGAGTAGAAAATGATACCAGATGGCCCTGACTACATAGTGCTTGGACTGACTGTGACAGATGGGGAGATAGGTAAAATAAAGGGGATATGATAAAATGGACCGTTTTATTTAACTCATTAAAATACTCTGCCTCAAGAAAATAATCCTCCACATGTAACTATGTGGAAAGGTTTCATTATTTAAAATTGTATATTCTCCTTATCACATAGCCGAAAGCTTCCTTAGTCACTGCAGCTACAGAATTGAAAATAATAGTTCAACACAGAGGTAACAGAGGCAGCCAAAAGAAAATGCTGTTGCTACTCCTAAATGCATAGGGGGAGGGGGAAAAAAAATTAAAAAAAAAAAATCACTTAAGTCTTCTATCACTTAACCGAGTGCCAAAATGAAAAGTAAGTGTTATCAGAATATTTGTGCCAATTTAAAGTTTCAATGTTTTAATCTAAAATCCCTCACCTGCTGCTATAACTTGGCCTCTATAGCTCATGAATCATTAAACTGGTGGTGGCCCCAGAAATTGGAAACACGATCTGAGGGACAGCAGAAAAGAAAGACGACAGGTCCTCTCAGCAGTGGCACCTCTTATGACTAATATGCCAGAGGTCATGTCAGCAGCAAAAAGGCTGGCTGTCACACCCTCACCAGTGCACACTCATCCACATAAGCTACAAAAATGTGTGAAATGGGACCTACCTACCTCCCTAAACTATTGCTATCCTTACACACAAAATGAGGGTGAAGCGGAAGAGGCAGCATGCCAGCGTAACCAGTGGGGTGGGGTGCACATGCAAGTGACAGATGATAGTTTAAAGAAAAAAAAATATCCTTCTGTTTTACAAAATGTAAGCATCTGATGCTACACTAAGCTATCTCCTGCTTCTGCTGCAGATCTGGCAAACTCCCCAGCTTTTGGAAACAGTTCAGTTATGTGGAAAGATTAAGCAAAGTAAAATAGCGAGATTATCAAGGAAGAAGGTAATTAGGGGACAATCAGGAAGAACACTAGGAGCTGTGGAGTAAACATCCCTGTGCATCATTTGTATGTGTCAGTAACCTGTATCACTGAACTTTTTAAACATACAACTTAATAGTTGAGTATGTATGTTGTAAAAAAAAAAAAGTCTAAGAATGCGTAGGAGAGGACCTTACCCATGTCACCAATTTTGCAGTGGCTTTTCAGAACAGAATTAAGTTTTGAAGGTCTGATGTCAAAAATGCTTGTTTAGGCCTGATACGCTAATTCTATCCGAAAACACTGTCTTGGGGAAAAAGAGGACTTCTAATACTTTTGCACTGATTTTATATAGTAAAACACAGAAATGAACAAGCACTCCTGGGGATTAATACTAGGTTCAATCCTGGGACACACCTGTATTGTTACAGAGCCAACAGATAAAGCAATGACCAGTCCTAGAGCCAGGCCATACCGCTACTGAACTAGAGGACAAACAGGTCAATGACAAAGAGAAAGAAATTGAGACAGTGGCCTGTGTAGTATAATTAACAAATGTCATGAGAAACAAACACACTCATTCCAATGGAAACAAGAAGCACTTCAGTTAAGAAGATATTTCAAGCCTTGAAAATCCATTTCAAACAAAAAAAAAAAACAACCAAAAGAAAAATTGTATTTGGCAATGTTATCTTTAAAAAGTGCACACAAAGTATAGCTTAAATAGGGTAGAGCGTTAAAAGGTTTTCCCTTCAAGAAAGAATTTTATGTTGAGTCTGTGCATGTCAAGCATTCCTGACTTTCCAATGCACTACAGTTATTAGAGTATAACATATTTTGCATAAGAGAACGGGTGCCTGACAGAAGAAGGCTGTCCCTTGGAAAGGGAGGGATCTTGTGTTACTCTTCTGCAGTGAGAGGCATCAGCAGTCCTCCAGCAGATTCACCAAAGCTAATGCTTACCAGTAAGAGGTGAATCCACAATTCCCAAATGAAAAGCAAAATGCCTAACAGGTCTGCTGGGAACCCACCAGTTTGGGGGTTTGTTTGTTGGGTTTTTTTTGTTTAGAACTGCTTTAGAAACACTTTGTACTCTATCTGCAGCATAAATATTTAACTAAACAACTTGTTTTGCTAGCCTTAATACCTTTTATTTAATGACATCCGCCCCCCGCTCCAATTTCAGCGGTTCGGACTTTTGAAAGCG